ACTTGGTGGCTGAGTAAAACGGAATAGCAATAAACTCGATATAAAACCATACAGGAATCATTTCAAAATATGCAACGACATTGACAGTGGTGTAAATGGGAGCTCAGTGTACCAAGCAGGATGACAGTGTAAGACTGGAAGTATCAGTGACAGAAAACTGGCATCGTAATGTTACATGTCGACTCTTTCAATGGCAAGGCAATACTTTGGGATCAAAATAAAGCTGTCATACATATACACTTAATCAAGAATGTCTCTTGAAGCAATCAATACATAATTTATTATAAAACTAAAATATGTAATTGCTCTAGATTAGAAGATGTTATTGCAATGTTTGCCTATAGTTGTGTTGATGCTGCAGCTGTAAACCTGGGTGGATGGGAGTTATCCAAATGTCCCTATGCCTTTCAAGCTCAATAACGTATGCACTTTATTCTGGAAATTACGTGATGGGTAAGTGGGGGATCAATTTGCTATTTGATTTATGGAAAAATCTATACATTTGTTAGCAAATTTGCCCAAACAATGTATAGACTTAACATACTCTTTTTGAATGTAAAATAATGTTCTGTGTACTCCTGACAGAGTTTATATTTTTGGGCCTGTTTCATCGTGTAGATGATGAGGAACATGGGATTAGTAGACATGTGCAATTCGTTTCGGACAAATGTGAATTCGGATGAATTTCAGGAAATGCTGAATGGTTGAAGTCCCAAAATTCCGAAATTCCGGAATTTCTGAAGTGTTGAATTGCCGAAGTGCCGAAGTTCCGAAGTGCTGAAGTTCTGAAGTTGCCGAAGTTCCGAAGTGTCGAAGTGCCGAAGTGTTGAAGTTCCGAAGCACAGTATTGCCTAAGAACTAATATACTTACCCAGTGGAAGAATGAAGAATGTTACACTGTATACAATTTTAAATAAAAAGTATACAAACATAGCCAGTATTCAGCTGTAAGTATTTGCAATACTTACAACAATCAAGTAATATACATTCATATAAAATGTAAGTTACTGAGCCAGTCAGTGTAATGACAGGAATGAATAAGTAGATAACTCCCTAATTCCTAAAAGGCTAAAAGACCTAAATTGGTCTTTCAGACAAATTTACTAATACTAAGTAAAGATTACTTAGTATTAGTAAATTATGCCCTTACTCGCTATACTGCGAGTAGGGGCATGTCTATTAAGCAGTAGGGGCATGTCTATTAAGCAGTGATACCTAATGTCCTCCCCCCTGGCCCCCACCCCTGAGTGGTGGGTGGGGGTTCTAAACTAGAATAAGGGGGGGAACCTAATGTCCTCACCCCTGGCCCCCACCCATGAGCGGTGGTTGGGGGCCCTAAATACTAATAAGGGGGGGATCTAATGTCCACCACCCTGGCCCCCACCCCTGAGCGGTGGGTGGGGGCCCTACAGTAAAATAATGGGGGACCTAATGTCCTACCCCCTGGCCCCCACCCCTGAGCGGTGGGTGGGGGCCCTAAATACTAATAAGGGGGGATCTAATGTCCTCCCCCTGGCCCCCACCCCTGAGCGGTGGGTGGGGGCCCTAAATACTAATAAGGGGGGGATCTAATGTCCTCCACCCTGACCACCACCCCTGAGCGGTAGGTGAGGGCCCTAAACTGGAATAAGGGGGGGACCTAATGTCCTCCCCCCTGGCCCCCACCCCTGAGCGGTGGGTGGGGGCCCTAAATACTAATAAGGGGGGGACCTAATGTCCTCCCCCCTGGCCCCCACCCATGAGGTCCCCTCTTTAGTTTAAAAGCCCCCACTCGCGTGTCGCGTGGGGGCTCGGGAGGGGGGACCCTGTTTTTTTGTTTTTTTTTAACAGTGAGCAGCCACAGGCTGATCACTGTTTAATAGACATGCCCCTACTCGCGGTATAGCGAGTCACCCCCCTTATTTTACTTTAGGGCCCCCACTCGTCGTTTAGGGGTAGGGGCCAATAGGTTTTTTTTTGTTTTGTTTTTTTACAGTGACCAGCCAAAGGCTGCTCACTGTTTACCAGACATTCCCTACTCGCAGTATAGCGAGTAGGGGCAGCATTTACTAATACTAAGTAATTTTTACTTAGTATTAGTAAATTTGGCTGAAAGACCAATTTAGGTCTTTCAGCCTTTTGGTAGATAACTCCCTAATACTGTGGGAAAAAGGGAGTTATCTACTAAGCGGCTGAAAGAGAAATGCCGAATTCCTGAAATTCTGAAATGCCGAATTTCCGAAGTTCCGAAGTGTCGAAGTGGCCGAAGTTCCGAAGTTCCGAAGTGCTGAATTGCCGAAGTCCCGAATTTCGGAATGCCGAACCGAAAATTTTCCCCATGCACATGCCTAGGGATTAGATAAACTCAACTTAATGCAATTACTTCAATTTGTCTTGCATCACGGGGACTGTTCTCTCCTCCGTCCATATTTCTTCCTTAAACTTGCCTTTTTATATGACGGGATTGTTATGTTATCTGGTTTTCTCCTGATCTCATATTTGTCTTGTATACCTAGCTGTTTTAAAGAATTAAAAACAAAGACGTGAACATGGTTTATTTTAAAAAGAGTTATGATGCTCATATAAACTTTTTGGGGTTTGGTATATATCAGGTGTTTTACAGTTATTACATTTACAATGAGAGTATTAAAATTCATACAGAGTGTTTAGTAGCCTGAAATTAGATGACCATTGATGAGAAAATATATTGATGGATTCTTTCATGTTGTTAACCTAAAGACATTTATGGTCATTTATTCTTTAGGTTTTTTTTTCTCAATTAAACATCAAATATAATGAACTGGAAACCAAACGGCAAAAAGTCAGGGTACTGTATCCTTCCTATGGCTAAACAGCGAGATAGGAAAACATGTTGTAAATGAATTTTAATTCACTACAGTTCAGTCATCTGAAAATCAGTGGATTCCCCCTTCTAAATACTTCCATAGTATCCCATACTCTCTTAGAGTAAAATATTCACTAATTGGGGTGAGTTAAAAAAATGTAAGCCAAGAGAGAATGGAGTTCGAAAAGATTTAAACTCTACTGAAGAAATTACAGTTACGTTGTCTATACATCACTCGTCCTCTAAGAAGACAAACAATTAAAATTTAGCAGAAGTGATGGTAGTTAACTCAGATAAGGGAAAATCCCACTAGTTTTATGGGATATATGGTAAAGAAAAATCATTTTGGAAGAAAAATGTTTATCGTAAATTACTGACATATAGACTTGTCAATTATTGCGCCTTGATTTAATACAGGTCTATGGTTTATGTTTCCCAAATGCATCAATAAGCATTTCTCATAAAAAAAATAAAAAAAAACATGGTCACCCTGACATACAATTTAAATTCAATAACAGATTATATAAGGGATATGTTCCTTTAAGCTTAGAAACAGCCTGTTTTCATCATTCCGCGCTCAAGGTGAATCTGGTAATGAGAACACATCAGGAATATTGCTCATAAAATTAATCATTAATTAAATTTATATTTTGAAAAAAATAAACCGCAAAAATATTTTAGCGCAGGGAAGCTGTACAATCATTCCTTTCTGAAAACATATGCAATCTGTTGACCGAGAAGAATTGCGAAGGTTCTCTTCCATGGCATGGCATGTCTAATCAACTTCAAAATAATTTCCAAAAAGGAAGGAGACAATATTAAACAGACCAAACAATGTCTTTTGTTTTACCAAGTGTTCTGCTCAATAGGTCATTGTATTATGCGCCATAATTGGAACCAAATTGCACATTAATTTGATTTAAAAGACAATATGAAAGGGAAGGAAGTGATTAATAAAAGGTGATATGTAAAGGAAGTTCTGTAATATGAAAAAAGGAAGTGCTGTGCTAGAGGCTGATATGAAGAAAAGGACATGCTGTGTTGGAGGGTGATATAAAAGGAAGTACTGTGTTAGAGTGTGACGTGGAAGATGTGCTGTGTTAGAGGGTGATAGGGGAAGGAAGTTCTGTGTTAGATTGTGACATGGAAGGATGTATTGTGTTAGAGGGTGACATGGAAAGAAGGATGTGTTGTGTTAGAGGGTGACACTGAAGGAAATGCTGTGACAGAGGGTGACATGGAAGGATGTGTTGTGTTAGAGGGTGACATGGAAGGAAGGAAGTGTTGTGTTAGAGGGGGACATGGAAGGAAGTGCTGTGTTAGAAGGTGACATGGGAGGAAGTGCTGTGTTAGAAGGTGACATGTAAGGAAGGAAGTGTTGTGTTAGAGGGTGACATGGAAGGAAGTAAGTTCTGTATTAGAGGATTATAGGGGTAGGAAGTGCTGTGTTAGAGGGTGATAGGGCTAGGAAGTGCTGTGATAGAGGGTGACCTGGAAGGAAGGAAGTGTTGTGTTAGAGGGGGACATGGAAGGAAGTGCTGTGTTAGAAGGTGACATGGGAGGAAGTGCTGTGTTAGAAGGTGACATGTAAGGAAGGAAGTGTTGTGTTAGAGGGTGACATGGAAGGAAGTAAGTTCTGTATTAGAGGATTATAGGGGTAGGAAGTGCTGTGTTAGAGGGTGATAGGGCTAGGAAGTGCTGTGATAGAGGGTGACCTGGAAGGAAGTGCTGTGACAGCTACATTTCTCTGTAGGTTGTCTGTTCCTGTGGTCATTTGGACCTCTTTGTGTTTTCTTTGTTTGCTCTTGACTTTAGTAGCTAATTAGTTACAAAAGCTACTCTTGGTGATATCTTAAATAATTATTCAGACATTTCTTTGAAATGTTACTTTACTTCCAGCTGTTTGCAATGAACAAATACAATAAAATAAAATAAAAAACAATTGAAATAGTGCAACCCAACAAATGCTTCAAGTGGTTTCCCCAAATTCCCCTAAAAAAGCAACTAATGACTTCTCCAGTCTCAAAATGATTCAACCCCTTCATGGCAAGCATCTTTAGTACTTCGTAGAGCATCAATTTGCTGTTATGACCTGCTGCAAACAAGATGCTTAGCCAGACACCAGCTTCGGGCAGCGTTCCTGAGGAATCTTAGCCGATTGCTAATGAGGAATGGCCTTCAGTTCAGTAATAATAACTGACTTCTACAAATCCCACCAGAGATTTTCTATGGGGTTCAAGTCAGGTGACTGTGATGCCTGCAAACAAGCCTTGGTGGAATTTGAGGTATGCTTGGATCATTGACTTGCTGAAAGGTCCAATGATGTCCAAGCTTCAGCTTCTTCCCATGCATGACGTTTACTCCTAGGATTTCCTGATAGCAAAAAACGAGTATTCTGAGAACGGACAGCAGCTGAAATAGCCTGACCTTCGGTGGGTCCCTGCTCAGATCTCAAGCTGGTTTTAGCTCATCTTGTGCCATTACAGAGAGAACATCTCTGAAAAATATCAGACTGGTCCCACCCATACGGACAGTCCAGATCCAAAATGCCAGCAAGTTCCCTCTGCACGAGAGACACAGCAGGATTTCCTGATACTTCAATAAACCCATCTTGCCTTCCACATGCTGCAGGTTTCCAGTGCCAGAGGATGCAAGACAGCCTCAGAGGTTTCTTCTCAGCATATTCAAATTAGAATTTGTTGTGTTGTTATTTGAATTGCTTTTGTTTGATTTGTTCATTGCAAACAGCTGAAAGTCGGACCCTGGGGAGTCAGAACAGCCAAACGGACAAGGGCACATGTATGAGTGTGGGGATGGTGCTAGTGATGGGCTATATATGTTTAGGGGAGTGGTTATGGGTTTGTAGTGGGGCAGGGATCATCTTACGTAAGTGCCTTTTGGGATTCTGGCCAGCGAACAACTTCCCTCCCACCCATCCTAATTTTATGGTTTTTGTTCCGTCACAGCTAGCGGGGAGCGTGTCCTTGCCAACAGGGTTGGGGAGCAGATGGAATGTCAGGAGATGTACAAGGTGGGTCTCAACCTCCCCTGCTCTGTAAGGTAAACTTTTAAGTTACGGAATTGGACGTGCCCACCGAGCAAAAAGCCGGCTGGGGCTAGAGCATTTAAGATGATGAGAATTTTGGTTTGGACGAGGGGGGAGGCGAGACACCAATGGGTAACGTTTTTGGCACATAGGCACCTGGTTAAGTTCGTTTGCAAGGACGGTTATTTAAGTTGGCGGCTGTAGGGCAATAAGTGTTAATTTATATGTTAATTATGGTATGTATATATATTTATTTGTTTATTTATATTTGAATTAAAGGAAAAAGAATAAACTTCGGATGAGTCCTACAGTTGTAAGTTTAATAAATGCTGTGGCCTGTTTCATCCAATATTCATTGTTTGTCGTTATTGGGGTTGGAGAATTAGGGTAGTGTTCTTACTCTTAGTCGCACCACATTCCTCGCTACGTACATACATGTAAAGTTTGACAAATAACCTGATTTTCAATGAGGGTTGAATAGTTATGATAACAACTGTAGGTATAAATTGCAATTACCTATAGCAACCACTGGAGGCATTGATTCACAAAAACATGTTCCTCAGCTGAGAATATTCTTTTCGTTAGTTTGCAGCAAACTAACAGTCTTTTAATATTGAGGCATCAGGGTTTTTCACTAAAGTGTGAATTGATGGGAATTCAAAAAGAGAATTCCAATGGTCAGGCCAATATGGCCAAACTGGGAAAATACTTCAAAAAACTATCTTTGAATTCCTGACAATTCACATTTCAGTAAAGAACCTTGTAAGACTTTATTCCATCCACACATAAAATGTGCCACACTTAATACAAGACAGGGCATTATTCATATTGTCATTGCAGTGAGTACACTGATCAGCCACAACATTAAAACCGCTGACAGGTGAAGTGAATAACATTGATTATATTGTTACAATGGCACCAATCAAGGATCTATAGGCAGCAAGTGAACAATCAGTTCTTGAATTTCATGTGTTAGAAGCAGGAAAAAGGGGCATGCAAAAAGATCTGAGTGACTTTAACAAGGGCCAAATAGTGATGACTAGATGACTGGGTCGGAACATCTCCAAAACGGTAAGCCTTGTGGGGTGTTCCAGTTATGCAGTGGTTAGTACTAACCAAAAGTGGTGCAAGGAAGGACAACCGGTGGACCAGCATCCAGGCCATGGGCACCAAGGCTCATTGATGCATGCGTGGAGCGACAGCTGGCCCGTCTGGTTTAATCACATAGAAGAGCTATGGAGCATGGAGCCACATAGCCACAGACCTCTCAGAGTGCCCATGATGACCCTGTCCACTGTCGAAAGCACCTTCAATGTAGACATGAGCATCAAAACTGGATCATGGAGTAATGGAAGAAGGTTGACTGGTCTGATGAATCACGTTTTCTTTTAGATCAGATGGATGGCCGGGCAGTGTGCATCGTTTACCTGGGAAAGATATAGCAGCAGGATGCACTATGGAAAGAAGGCAGGCCAATAGAGGCAGTGTTACGCTCTGGACAATGTTCTGCTTGGAAACCTTGGGTCCAGTCATTCATGTGGATTTTACTTTGACACATATCACCTTCCTAGAGAAATGCACCCTGACACACTGCAAACATTGTTCAGGAATGGTTTGAGCAACATGAGAAAGAGATCACAGCGTTTCCTTGGCCTCCAAATTCCCCAGATCTCAATCCAATTGAGCATCTATGGGATGTGCTGGAACAAGAAATCCCATCCATGGAGGCCCCACGTTACAACTTGCAGAACTTAAAAATTCTGCTACCAAGAGGACACATTCAGAGGTCTTGTGGAGTCGATGCCTTGACGAATCAGAGCTGTTTTGGCAGCACAAAGGGGACCTATGATATTAGGCAGGTGGTTTTAATGTTGTGTCTGATGAGTGTATATTGTTAATTCTGTATATTTTTTCTGCATTGCTTCATTGCCTTATAATGGAACTCCACCTGTCACCAATACTGTTGCCGCACATGTGTGTTATATCCTCAGTGCTTTTTTAGGAAAAACATTTGATTGGACCAGAAATCATCACATTTGATGATCCATCAGTGGGAAGAGCAGTAGCGGAGCCCAGTGTGTCCAGGGATTGGATTACAGATGAGTTTAATGTTTGTTTGTTTTTTTTCTTCAAAAGGGAGAGGGGTGAACTATAATCATAGTAAGTTACACATTCAAGTTTTTAAATAATATCTTAATTTTTTAAGTTAAAGTGTTCATTTTATAGCAATAATAATATAAGGCTTATTCACTAAAGAGCAAATTATAGGAAAGAGTGCTATTTCAGGAAAAAATATCCATTGGTTACTTGGTTATTTTTCCTAAATTTTTTAAATCTTTACTTATTTTTTTTCAGGCCAGCACTAAGGGCAACTTACTTGGATGATCATCTCAGGTATGTATGTGCTAAGTTAACCATTTTTACTACCATAATGTAGTTTTTATTACAATTAATTGCAAAATGTTTCTTTTTCTTTATGTAAATGGTAAACACTAACTGGTGGATGGTATCACAGCCCTAAGTGCATGGTATCACAGCCCTAAGTGGAGGCAGACGTAGCGTGCAAATGTTAAAAGCAGGAACGGACCATAGGCTGGACCAGAGGTGGATCATAGACCAAACATCTGCAGGCAGTTGGGTGTTAACAATTTCTTTTTACCAACAAGCATTGAAACAAGCCCTGTATTTTCCCTGCCCCTCCTGTCAATTTGGCTGTGTGTACAGCTTTAATTTGTCTTAATTTGTCTTCGAAGTGCATGTCTTTAAAAAACAAAGTTGAACTAAGAGGCTGTATTTGCTTACAGTGGCCTGATGAATCTATTAAGGTGGTAAATGGCAGACGTTCAATGATGCACTCCAAGCAAGTATGAATAGAGCATCCTAACTGGCACAAGATACATTGCTGGAAATTTAATTGGAAAATCTAATAAATGACATCTGTCCCTCTGAGATGTGCCACTGAATTTCATGCAGGCTTCTTGCTGGACAGAGGAAACATCCCGTGCCAGAACAGGGCAGCTTAGAGACATCTCATAACCTAAAATGTCACTTTGACATGCTAGAATTGGCAATTGCACCAGGGTTACCGAAAGTTGTTTTCCGATGCTAAAAAGCACTTGTAAATCAACACCAGCACTAAGAACAGTTTTATGTCTATTTAAATAATCCTGGTTTACTACTTAATGTGCATGTGTAATGTTAAATGAACTAAATGTGGACCGGCCAGTGGGCTCGACAGAGAGCTGTGATTGGGATATAAATCTCATTTTGTTTCTCAAAAGAGAATAGCAAAAAATTCAATTTTTTTTCTAATGTTTTCATGAATAATGAATAATAATGTATTATACTAAAAATTTGCATAGGGATTTATTTACTAAATGATAAATTACAGTGGATTAAATATGGAATTGCAACATGGAGGCGAAAGCATCTCATCTGGAAAATTTCACCTATTTGGCTATAGCCGCAACCTGGCTGTTTTATTCAGAATTTTGCAACTTAACAGGATAAATACTTATTGTAATTCCTTTACAATGCCAGAGAAGGGAGCCATGAATCACAAATTGTTTGATAATTTGGGTTCGATACTGAATTGTAAAATCTTGTCATCAGGGCTGCCATCAGAAATTGTGGGGCCCCTGACACAGCTCAAGGTCTGGGCCCCCCGGTGCCCAAAGTGCTGCAGCCCCCTCCCCCCCCCCCGAGTCCGCCCACAGGAATGCAGTGTCTGCAGGGCCGGTGCAAGGATTTTGTCCGCCCTAGGCAAAAGTAAAGTTTGCCGCCCCCCCATGTGACATCACAATGCCCCACCCATATGATCTGCCATGTTAACTAACACCAGTGCTGCAGTGCCGCCGTGTTTACATTAAAAGGGCTGCAGGGACAGGCTAGACACCAGAACCACTACATTAAGCTGTAGTGGTTCTGGGGACTATAGTGTCCCTTTAACGTGAGGTAAATTAGAGATTAGTGCCACAAATAATATACTAGATTGCCTACTTACAACCAGATGAGGATGATGATGGGCTCTAGCTCCCGTCTGGCTCCACTGGTCTGGTGTAGAACAGGCTCTCTGGAGGCGGTTTGTAACTGTGGTCACAAAAATCAATGTTCTGGGATCAACGGGAAGCAGCTACATTTTTTTGAGGGCCCTTTACACAGCTCAATGTCTGGGTCCCAGGATCCACCTCCATGTTCCACCAATGAGTTTGTTCACAGGGGGTGGAGTGTGTGTGTGTGTGTGGGGGGGATGTCCTGATGTGTGTAAGGAATGCATTGTGTGAATCTGTGTTTATATGTGTAAGGGCTGCAAGGCCTCAAATTTCCTCCCCCTCCCTCCCTTAAATTTATTTCCTCCCCCTCCCTCAAATTTCTTTCCTCCCCCTCCCCTCCCTCTGACAGCCGGCTGGCGCGCGAGGGAGCACTCTCCTCTGAGTGCTTCCTCTTCAGCTCCCTCGCGCGCCGCGTACTAATGCCGGCGCCGGAAGATGACGTCATCTTCCGGCTCCGGCATCAGTACGGTGCGCGAGGGAGCTGAAGAGGAAGCACTCAGAGGAGAGTGCTCCCTCGCGCGCCGGCCGGCTGTCAGGGCCAGCCTCTGGGGGCCCTGAGGTGACCGGCTGCTGGGCCCCCAGGAGAAGAGGCTGGCCCTGTGGGTACATAACGGGGTCTGCACCCGGTATGTACCCACTGAATGTGGGGCCCGGACGACCTTAGCAGTCCGGGCCCCCCAGGACCGCCGGGCCCATGACAACCGTTGCGGTTGTCATGCCCTGATGGCGGCCCTGCTTGTCATTGTGAAATCTTCATTGTTAGGCAATTTGTGGTAGGTATTTCCTATGGTTGGTTGATCTGTCTGTGTGTGTCTGTCTGTATGTGTGTCAGTCTGTCTATCTGTCTATCCTCCACAGGCGATTTCCTATTTAGCAAAAGAAGGGATGGGATCTGGGAGAAGGCACACAGCCCCCCTGACGGCACTTCAGCCAATGCACGCATGACATGTTCTGTTGTCTCCCAGTCACCATTCCTTACATATCCGTGAGAGGTTCATGCTGAAGACAAGTAATTTGTAATGCCTTATTAAGATCAAAATTAAGAAAATGACTTTTCTTACTTTTGATTTTTCGGTCTGGCAGGTAGCTCCCTAATTTGGTATCAATAAATGTGGCAAACCCACATAAGGATAACAATTAGGGAATATTTAACAAAACTGCACAAAGATCAAAGTTTAGAAAATGTATTTTCTTGATTGTGGAGAGTTCCCTAATTTGGTATCCTCATATTTGGAAATCCCACATAAGGATACCAAAGTAGGGACCAATCTACCATATTATTACCTTCATTTTTTAGCTATATAGGAAGGTGACCCTTAATCCATTTATATACATTTCATTCAGCCCTCATGTAGAGAAAGGTTGCCGAACACGGCCCTAACATGAATAATTCAGTCAGGCCAAACGAATAGTGAGTCAGAGAGTTGTGGACATTTAGAATTAAGTTCCACAGCAAACAGCCTAGAACACTAAGAGAGAAAGAAGTTGGAATCCCGTTGGAATTACTTAACCCTCTCTCAAGGTTGACAGTCTGACTCTCTCAGCCAATTAATAATGTCCAAAATTGATATGCTAATGTGGATGTAGATGTGTATGAACGTCTGCTTTATCAGAAGGACCACGAGCTCCTAAAAAAGTGAGGTAGGTGTCAAACTGTTCATTATTATCGCCATTTATACAGCGACAACAGATTCCGTAGCGCTAAATAGGACAATTACAAGAAAACTTACAGGAACAATAGTTTGAAGAGGACCCTGCTCAAACGAGCTTACAGTCTATAGGAAACATATACATGACATCCTCACCTGGGTCAGGGCCAGGGGACTCCAGGCACCATAACCACTATAGTGCAAGGTAGTGGTTATGGTGATTCATATATATTACTTTAAATACAAGGCCGTCTATTGCTTCTCCTTCCCCTGAACTCCATTGCTCTTTATGTTTCTTTTCACCATATAATTTTATAGAATTGCTTTATGTTCGTCATTTTGCGTTGTTACTTTGTTAGTTCACCTATTCTCGTCTCTGTGGCTCAATCAGCAGCACGACATTCTTCACTGCAGGGAAATGATTTAATGTAAAGGCTGCTGACATCCCTTAATGGTATGCTGGAAAAAAAAGACAAATAAGAACAAGACTTGGATTTCACAGGTTAAACAGCTAAGTTATTCTGTGGTCAGAATAATAATACGAAAACCTCTGTTTTTCTTTCTCCTTTGTTTTCAGAGTCAAAGGCTTCTCCATTACACCATTTTATACATTGTTCTTCCCTCTAAAATTACATTTTCCATTTAACAGGCTCATAATCATATTCTCGGGATTACTGCCTTAATGCACAGGCTTTGGGATGTATATTTTATTTGCAGATTATATTACTATGGTTTCAGTTGGTGAAAGGATCATCATTTTCAATATATTATTTAATGGAATACATTTACTGAGCTCTGTTGCAGAAATTTTTATATAAACTCAGCGTGACTTTAGTATATATATATATATACATACATACTGCATTGACCTAAGCATGCATGCATTTATAAGTTATACGGGTGCTGCTGGGGATTTAGTTGTATTATTATTTTTTATTATTATTTTATTATTTATATAGCGCCAGCAAATTCCGTAGCGCTGTGCAATGGGTACTATATGATCATACATTGCGTAAGCCTGCCATAACATCAACATACTCAATTTTTGGCATGTCCTATCCTAGCCACCTAATTCCTGTTCTTATGAGATTAACCCACTTTTAATAAACTTTTCAAATTATTTATAATTCTTTTAAACACTATTTTAAAATTTGTTTATATATGATATATGTTAATTTGCATATTAGGGTAGATTTGCCTATTGCTAATTCTGCAGACAGGAGAAATATTTTGTGTTAATTATTGTCTTCCCCAACCCCTTATAAATAAGTCATTGTGTTATAATAAGTTGCTGTATGTTGTCTGTTATGATTTGGTTATTTGTATTTTATTGAAATTGTCACAGCAATCTAAGTGTAATGAACATATGGGCTAGTCTCGAGTAAATACAGTATTGCATGTTAGTTCAACTTGGAACTGGCTGTCCTGTGTGGTGTCTTCAGACCTGTTGGCTGTCTGCGTAAGCCCCTTACCCTGTGAGCCACGAGTACTTTTGTAAAGGCAATAGCAATCACTGTAAGCAGATCTTCAGACCAATAGGCAGATGCAAGATTTAGGCTAAATAGCTAAGCAGTGGGTGAACCTGAGTTTAATTTATTTTTCTAGATTAATTGATTCTGCATAAATAGCTGATTTAAATACGTTATCCAGCTTCATGCTAGTCACTGCTTGACTATTTTAGACTAAGGTTTCCACTTTGGTTTTAAATTCACTACATGTTGATGTTTAATGAATAACTGCCTATATCTTACAAGGTGAAACATCTCTGCTATGGTCCTTGGTTTTCAATGTCATATTTGTTACATTCATTGATTTGAAATCTTGTACGAGTTTAACTCTGCACTCACACCATATTTTATGTCACAGCAGTAATTAGCAGTAAACTAAACAAATATATATTTTGCTTACTGGTTAGTGGGGTGTAGTGTGAATTTTATTACCTACAAACTAATGTTATCTTAGCATTTTTTTAAGGACATTTTTTATTTTTCTGCTGTGATCATCCGATAATTTTGAACAAACATTTCACATCTAATGTTATCATTTAATATAAAATTTCTCAGGAAAAAAAGGTGATAAAGTGATGTATTTCCTCTTGGCTTTAAAATCTCTTAAACCGAACATCGAATTAAAAAAAATGAAATAGGCTCAGCACCAGTGTGAAAAAAAGACTACGCATCAAAGAGGATAATGTGTTTCTCTCAAGTGACAGGCTCACGTTATTCCGCTATAACATTCACTTACTTTTGTGAATCACATGAAAGATATACCAATTCTGGAACACCCACCTTTCAATGTCTATCAACGTCAACTGGATGAAGAATTCTCATATACTGGAATCTGTATCTTTAGAATTTCCTTGCGGTTCTAGTAGGATTATTAGATCACACATTAAATTGATGGAAAATATCCTAACGATAAAAAAAAATAAAAAAAATTAACCCCTGACACTTTTATTTGATAAGTGGCAGAATTCATTTTCTGTGACTTTTGCTAATTCATTGTATCATCATTTTTTAGCAGAAATTTTTTGTGCCATGGTACAGTTAGCGTAAGTCTAAATTAACATGTTTTTCTTAAGTGTGTTTTGTAGAATGAATATGCCATAAGAATAGGTCACTGACCTTATTATACATTTGAGGAATGGGGTGATAAGTTAATAACATTTTACATCATTTAAGTCTGTGTCAAATGAAGTTAAAAATCACAAATCGAACAAATTAGAGAGAGAAAATGAATATTGTGTAATATATGTAATATTACACAATATGTGTTTTTTCAGCAATGAATTAAGGGAAATATAAACAGTATAGGATTAATGTTATGTTAGCTGGCCTACGTTTTCGTTGATCAGTTTCTCTACTTTGATGTCACGCTGTGTCAGTCTTTCCTGGTCTGAGGTTCAATTAAATGCTTCTTCTTGCGAAGTATTGTTGACCTTGGGCACATGCACGGCGAGGACTCTGACCCACCAATCAGCCTTTTCTAATAGAGAAGCATTGAATCCAGGGGTCAAGTCCTGGGGAATAAAGTGTGGGAACTCACCCAAGATTACCCCCCTTCCAAAAAAATAATAATATATACTTAATATATTATTATATTAATATATATACGCGTGCACACACACACTGAGAGGTGCACACACACAGATACTCAGACACACACACAGACACACACACACAGACACACACATACACTCACAGACACACACACACACACTCACAGACACACACAAATACACTCAGACACTCACACAGAAACACACGCACAGACACACATATACTCACAGATACACACATACTCAGACACACTCAGAAATTATTATTATTTTTTTTATTAAAAAATGTCCACCCAGCCTCCCTACCTGATGCAGGCTGTCATATGCCGGCTCCCAGCATCAGCAAACGGTGTGCGGCGACTCGGCGAGAGAGAGAACACAGCTCCCTCGCCGCTTCTGATATGGAGACAGGTGCCCGCCAAGGGGGTCCATCAGGTGGCCATCAGGCCACCTCTTGAGCCCCCCCCCATGACAGAGGGAACACATTTTTTGCCGTCCCCGAGTGCCTGCAGGAACAGCGGGAACGGCGTTCCTGCTGTAAAAAAGTGCAGGAACGCCGTGCCCACGCGTTCCTGCAGGACTCGAGCCCTGTTTGAATCCCTCTTTTTTTCTTGTGTATTCCTTACTCCCTTGTGTGTCTCCTAACCCCTCTGATCCTCGTGTATATCTAAACCACAATTTCCCTTTATGTCTCTTCACCCTGTTTTTGTCTCTTAAACCCCTTAACCCTTGTGTGTCTCTTACCCCTTCTTTACTCCATATGTGTCTCTTACTCCTTCCTTACCCCATGTGTGGCTTTTAACCTTCTTCACCCCTTATATATCTCTAAGTCACATTTTATTTATCTGAATCTCCCTTACTCCTTCTGTGTCTGTTAATCCCCACCTATCAACATAGCAGTGTGCCTGCATGAGATCACATTTCAGGATCTTCACGTTCCTCCACCCCGTCTGCAGGGAGCTCTGAGTAATGTGCAGAAAGTGGTTAGAAAAGCTGGGAAATTACGTTTAGTCTATGTCTTCTCCATTCACCACGTTGCTTGCAGCTCCCTCTCCAACTGGATAGAAGAACATGAAGATCCTTTACTGTAGTCACGCTATAATTGGTGAAAGCATATAAATGGGGTGCTCTGTACACGACTCTCCCACCTTGGGTGAACTGCGACACCTCCTGAAAGGGTGAAAAATTAAGTACGTGACTACTGTAAATGGACAAGACTATATTATTAGAAATAGCAATTGTTAAATGTCAGCTTAAAAGTAAAACCTGTTGCAGACCATCAAAGAAATAACTTCTTTTTTTTTTTTATTCTTTTTTTTTGTTGTGCAGATGAACACAATATATCAACAGATGCCACAACAGCGTATTTCAGGTTTCATAAAAGTTAGACAGTGGCATAGTAATTCACACAATTTTTGTTTTACATGCTTAACTAAACAGTTAGTTTGTCAGAGTAGGATTAAATATAATAAAATAAAATAAAGATGTTAGTTGCTTAACATTGCTAGATCACCTATGCTAGAGTAGGTTTAGTGTGAACACGTTTTGAAGCAGAGCAGTATCTAGTTATAAGATAATGCATAGAAACGTTATGCTGTGAGTGTTTAGGCTAGGAGGCATCGTATTGTGTATACCATTGCTAAAACTTGCCTATATTGTGGAGTAACATCACTATTCTCTCTAGGCGTGATAGCCCTGTGGTACAACAGATCATTCTGCGATCTAGCTGGATATGTGTGAGCATAAAACAAATGACATATATAGTAACAGCTTAATGTCTCTGCAGGGGATGTGCTGGATGTTTGGGCTAGAGCGTCCATTTTATCCAATGCCCCTTGTTGGGAGACGGCTTGCGTCTGTTGGGAGCGTTAAACAATTTCGGTGCAGAGAGGGGCAAGGGTTAATAATAACAGAACATTATTTCTAGCCTGTATGGCGAGTTCATGCTGCTTCTCCGCATGTGGGTCTGCAGGAGCCCTGTCCGTCTCGGGTGCAGGCTTTTGAGTAGAGGCTTTGCCCGGAGGTGTCCCACTCACCTCCCGACCAGTACTCTTATGGGCCTCCTTTGATTGCTGAGGAGGTAGTGTAGGCGAGTGGGTCGCAATTGTAGCCCAAAAGCGGTCAAAAATGTCCTCCAGCCGCCATAGCGACTGCTCCAAAGAGTAGTGCCTGTTCAGTGGAGGCTGTGCTTGCCTGAGTGCAGGAGGTGATTTCTCGTTCGCCATCTGGGTTACAGGCAGGGCTGACTCTGGTGTGAAGTAGAGCTGTCTGCTGAGGTACCTGTGCAAGCTAGTGGGACTGGGATAACCCCCGCCGGTCCAAAGGGGGGGGGGGTGGCTCTATTAAGGAGAGGTCCCTGAGGGCTCAATGTGGTAGAGCGGGAGAGCGGCCGCCTCCCCGTCCGACCGACCGGTAGGCCTCAACGGGATCCACTGGACAGGTAGTCTTTAGGAGCTCTGTGGAAGCGATCAGTAGACTCCTAGGGTTGTTAGGGGGTAATCAGTCCCCAGGTCAGGCAGATTGGAGTGTTGGGAGCTAGTTATCTTAAGAAGCTCCCGTTTCAGGTTAGGAGCTCTTGCGATGTGCGTCCGGAGGCCATGCTGGTCAGGCCCCGCCCCACAAAGAAATAACTTTTAACCTCTTGTTGCAGAAATACATGTTGTTGGTTGCTGAATAAGCAATATCGTGTTTAGCTCATGTAATCTTGTCATGTTACTTTTGCTGTAACTTCTGTCTATAAATATGTTTGCCTGACCATTAATAGACTGGTAGAAGCCCAATGTGAAACACGTTGTCTGTCTATCACTGAGAGGCTCTCCCCGAACGTTTGTTCCAAAAGTGAGGTGCATGGAATGCTTTGCCCAGCAGTGTATAATGACCCTAACTCCTCCCCATCCTCCTTTGTACTCTACTGTTCCAATGGAATGTTTTTGGTTGAAATCCATGTGCAGCCATAGAAGGTGAGTGAGGAGTTTGAGATCTGTAGAACACTAAAGAATTGAGAAGTATTAAAGGGACATTATAAGCACCCAGACCACTTAACCTCAGTGAAGTGGTCTGGGTGCCATGTTCCTCCTATTATAACCCTGCAATGTAAAACATAGCTTAAATGGTGACTAGGACACTATAACATTAGAAATTCACATTTGTATTTCTAGCGCTATATTGTTCCTTTAATTATCAGAAACAACTAACTGACACTCGAAGTTTTCTTTGCCTACAATTCCCATAACACTCTGCAAACCCAGGGCCAACATTAGTAGAGTTGAACGGACACCTGGATGTTCGGGTTGGCTGGGTTCGGCCAAAGTTCGGCAAAAGGTTCGGCGCGGTGGGAGCCCTAAATAAGATTGAGGGGGGGACCTACTGTCCTCCCCCCCCCGACCCCCACCCCTGCATGGCCGGTAGCGGCCCTACATAACAATGAGAGGGGGACCTACTGTCCTCACCCCCTGCCCCCATCCCTGAACAACGGGTGGGGGCCCTAAATAAGAATGAGGGGGGGACCTACTGTCCTCCCCCCGGACCCCATCCCTGCGCGGCGGGTGGGGGCCCTAAATAACAATGGGGGGGACCTACTGTCCTCCCCCCTGGCCCCCACCCCTGAGCAACGGGTGGGGGCCCTAAATGAAAATCCCCCTCCCCCCTTCCAAGGTGACTAGGGGTCCCCAAATAAAAGTTATCCCCTACCTACCTCCCTCACCCTAAAAATAGTGAGGGGGGAATAAAATAACTAACCTGTAAATAAAAATAAAACTTACGATTTGATGTCTTCTTTCTTCTAAAATCTTAATTTTACAGCCCCAAAAAAGGCCAAATAAAAAAACATAATACCCGTCGAATTTAAAATAAAATAAAAAATCAGAGCACAAAAAAAACCTGACGAAAAAGGAAAAAACCTGACGCAAAAAAAAAAATCCATCTTCACCCATGAGGGCTCCGCGCAGACTGAGCTCTTCAGGGTGGGGGAAGGCTTATAAAGCCTTGCCCCGCCCTGCAATTAGACTAAGAACACTCTGATTTAAGCCAATCAGAGTGCTCTTTGTCATTCCCACCCTGTGTAAAATGACACAGAGCACTCTGATTGGTTAGATTCTAAGTCCACCAATCAGAGTGTTATGAGTTAAATTACACAGCGTGGGAAAATTACAAAGAACTTTCCCACGCTGTGTAAAATGACACAGAGCAGTCTGCGCAGAGCCCTCCATGAGTGAAGATGGATTATTTTTTTTTGCACTCAGATTTTTTATTTTATTTTAAGTTCGACGGGTATTATGGTTTTTTATTTGGCCTTT